CCCCTCCCCCCCCCCCCATAGACCCAGAGGTCAGGCACGGGGAGGCACTGAATGTTCGACAGTGTTCCAAGGTGTGACCTGGGGCACATCAGGCAATGCCTCCCCCCTCTCCCAGCACATACTACCCCCACTTGCTTGGATTTTGTCAGCCCCATTCCCTTCCCCTCTCCCTCCCCTCCCACCCACGCTAGGGGGCCACCTCCCTGAGGGAGGCTACAGGACCCAGCAGGGAAGCCACTCTGGCAGGAAGGACACAGGCCTGGCAGATCAAAGACCCCGGTTTTAACGCTGGCCTCACCACCGACACACTGTGGAGCCTGGGAAGGGTTCTCATCTCTCTGCTTCGCTACTAGTTAAATGAGAGGGTGACAGCAGAGAGCCGAGAGGCCCGTTTCTGTTCTGATGTTCTGGGATCCAGCCTGGCTGTGTGCCATCTCCTGCAGCAGAAAGCTTTATTTGGACAGAATCCCCAGGTCCCGTGCCCCCAGTATCACCCGTCAGTCGGTCACTTAAGAAGTCATGCGGAGGGATCCCGTCCTCCCCTGTCGCCCCTGCAGGCCCAGCCCTGCCTGCTGTCCCCTACCCTGCAAACGTAGGAGAGGGTTTCCCCCACCCCAAGACAAGCTACAGAACTTCTCGTTTGCAAAGTGGGGACGATGATTCCTACCTCCCGAGGTGGGGGGAGGCCTCGGCGCTCACACTGGTCAGGGCGACGTTGCTCTGGCTAGTGGGGGGATCGCCTTCCTCCTCGCTCCCTCCCCAGTGAGAAGTCCTATTTTTATTGTCGTATCACCCTTCCTTTCTCCCAGGGGAACCGGCTGTCAGAGCTGGGTCACTTGATTTTGCCCCAACATTATGCCTCTGCGGAAAAAAAAAAATCAGACCGTGAAATGGGCCTGAAATTCAGTGTTTACCACGGCTCAAGGACACCCAACCCGTGTCCAGTTGCCTTTTGTTTTCAAATGAAAATGCTTTGTACAACTGAGGAGTTACAGCAAAGTGTTAATCAGGGGTCCAGGGAGTGAGTTGAAGAGATGGAGTGAGTGCATTTGCAGCCAGAGGGCTGCAGCGTAGATTTGGGCGGGGGTGGTGGGGTGGGGGTGGGGCCGTGCCCTCTGAGCATTTAAGAAGGGTGTATTTGCTCCAGCCTGAGCCCTGTAGCGGCTTCCCTCTGGCCTGCCCCTGACTGTGAACACGCTCACCGCCCACTGAGGAATCCCTCCCAGCTGCTCCCTGCCTGCTCCACGGTGTCAAGGTGAGCCAGAGTCACCCTGTTCCAGGGCTCTCTGTCCCCAAGGAGAAGCTGTTACTGTCAGTCATCCTAGTGCCCTGCTAACGAGAACATTCGCAGTGGTGGGCAGTGTGCTGGTCTCCGCTGCAAGGACCAGGTCCCAACCCTTCCAGGGACCTGGCTCCACAGGGGGACCTTGGCCTCAGGTACCTGGGCTGCAGTTGTGGGGGAAGCCCCCACCCTAGAAAGAACCCAGGCTCCAGACCCCTGGAGGCCAGGGCCTTCCACAGACCAAGAGGAGAAGGGATATCACCCCAAAGTGACCTTTGCAGTGGGTTTGTCCAGCTGGCAGCCATTGCCCCCGCCATCTGTGCAGAGCTGGCCACCGCAGGGGCTGGGCCCTCCCTATGAGGCAGCCCTTCCACACCGCCCCCTCCTGCACTGTTTGGCTGAATTTGGGAGCTCTGTGTGCTCAGCGAAAGCCACTGCTGTCCAGGCTGGTGCTGTGAGAATGAAGTGCTCAGAGGGCCTGGGCACCCAGGAGACAAGAAATTGTGTGGTTTTAGTACGTTCAAAGGGACAATCGCTTGCAGTTAGTAGATCTAGGGATCCAGTTGGGAGAGAACGGTGTTTACCCCATATAAAGTATTCAATAGTTTTACTTGTGAATTTGTATTTATTTTGAGTTATACTTGACACAGAATTCCTTTTTTTTTTTTTTAAAGAAAAAATACTATGTGTGTATTTTGAAACGAAAATTCATGGATGTTAAAATTTCTGCATGGTTTCCAATTTTTCTCACAACACTGAATTTGTTACCTTCTCCCGAAAAATCTTCACAGTGATTTTTGTCTGTATATATTTGAGGGCTTTTTTAAAAAAAAGAAAAAGAAAAGAAAAATATGATTGCCTGATTTTTGAGATTAAAGTAAACAAAAAGAGAGGCATTTTCAAAACTTCAGAGCTTTCAGGAGGGCAATAGAATATCAAATGAAGATTTCTGGAAGCATTTTTTGCAAACCTTCTGGTTGAGCTGCAAGAAAATATTTATGGTGAGAACTTTTCTCTTTTTCCTGTTGGTTTTTTTTGGGGGGGGGGTTGATTTTTTACTATGCTTTGGTCTGTAAAAAGTCTGCAACTGAATTACATTAAGAAGGAAATATTGTCTACATAGATTATTATATGAAGTTGGTACATAATTCTGATGAGGAAAAAAAACTTTGCAATTCTTTAAGCCATATTATTGTTATTCTCTGTTGTTATCCCTGGATAAAAATATCAGTATTAAGTAGCCAGCATATTATTCAAATGCTTAGACTTATTATTAATATGTTCTTGTCCTGTATTTATACATATGTGTATTTGGGAAAGTACTGCCTTTTTTTAAGGGAAGCTATTATTAGATACTTAGTGAAAAAGGGAATGGTGAGCCCTTTGAGCCTCTTCAGCTGAGGATAACACAGCATTATAATCCATTCTCTTGCACCTTCTTATTATCTTGTTATTATGGTTATTAAACTTGTGGGGGGCAGTCCAAAGATGGTCTCCTTGGCCTGGTCCAGGGCTCCCGGTCAGCAGGGCCCAAGGATAGAAGAGGAAGCAGGAGGCGGACTTCTCCAGCCGCCCCCTCTGGAGCTTTGCCATCTGAGCCATGCCTCGGTGCCCTATGCTCTTTGAACTTGGATTTGTCACCCAGAGCCCTTACACCTGCCCTCCAACATCTAATGGACTTGAATCTACTCTCAACGAATATTTAATCCAGCATCACTACATCGTAGCCCAGTGTGACAACTAACCCTGGAGTTTGGGAGGCGTCCGGCCATCGGGGGAGTTCATCGCTCTCTGTTGCCAACCTCACCGTTCGACCTCCTCCACTCCTGTGTGGTGACCCTGTCCAAGTCTGTATCTGTTAATACATGTGTGTCCAGCTAAAAAGACAAACAGAACCCGTGGGCCAGCTCGGAGGGTGCGTGGAGAAGCCTCCCGACCCCTCCCGAGGGCCGCCCTCGGGATGGCATTCCGTTGTGTGCCTTATTCCTGGAGAATCTGTATACGGCCTACCTATAGAAATATAGCCTTTTCATGCTGTATTAAAAGAACTTTTAAAAGCAAGAGAGGCTCCTGGGTGTCCTTGTTTACACGGAGCATCGGTAGGGAGCTGAACGTTTTCACAGATTCGGGGGTGCTGAGCTGGGTAGGGGCGGCTTGGGGCTGCCCTTCCGCTCTCCCGCGTCTGGAATGTCTTGTCCTGGCCCTGCCTCCACCCAGGCCCCCTGTCCCCAGACGGACACTCTCTCCGGGGCGAGGGCCCTCCCCAAGCGGGGCCCCAGACTAGGCAAGATTGTCGGCACATTAGGTCACAGTTAGTTCTGCGATGGGACTGCTGGTGACCATATATAGGAGTGAATCTTCCTCGGAGACAGCAGCCCTAGGCCTCGCAGCTGCAGCTCCCACTTGGCCCTCTCGCCAAGACAGGGATTTGGGCCTCAGACGCTGGGCATCCCACAGTGAGCAAACTCAAGGGTCCAGGGCCTCCTGGAAAGTCCCCAGGAGAAGGAACAGAGGGCCCTTCTTCTGAGCAAGGACCTGTCTGGGCTGTCTCAAGGTGGGGCTCTCGACCGGGGCCACAGACGGGAAGTCACGGCTCACAGGGCCTGGAGCCACGGCGAAGCAGGCCTGAAGGAGCCACCTGCATACGGAGCCCTGCGGCCCAGGATCAGCGCACTTGTGGTTCTCAACCTGGCTGCTCACCAGAATCGCCTGCGGGAGCCTTGGTCCATCCCAGAGATGCTTGAGGAACCGGCCTTGAAGTCCCTGATCAGTCCAGTGTGCACGGCTGAGAAACACCAGGCTTTGAAATGGTCCTCAGGGTCCTGTGGGGTGGATGGTGATGGCCGGTAGGAGGCCGTGGGCAGGGGGCGTCCAGCTCACTGGAGGGCATCCC